TTTTGGTTTCAGACGTCTAAAAAAACTGAAATTTTATGCTTTTCTACCTTTTTGGCAAGTCGTTAGTTCCTTGGATTTACTTAAAATAGACAAATTATAAATCGACTTGATAAAAAACCATTGGGAGTTGAGAGGCATTACGCGATGGAATTCAAAAGTAGAAAACAGGGTTGTAAGTCTTACTATCCTGCTAATTTAATTTGGGCAATCAAAAATAGGATCTTCTTTCAGGCCCAACTCCTCTGCTTTCAACACGCTCGCGTGCTCGTCAGACTCATCACAGAGGTGGCCAAAAATGGGCCTTCCAGATCCTTGGTAGCAGCCTTCAATCGTCTATGCGCCTTAATCCAATTTAGCAAGGCTAATCGGTTGACGTAAGATAAAAATCGAAAAGAAATCAAGTTAATTTAGCTCTTATGGGCTTCATATCGTCTCCGCCTTGACAGCGATGCTGAGGCGACCGGAGGAAGCCGTTCAGACCGCCCTCGACAAAGGCGTTCCTTTGATTTTTGCCGTTTTGGGACCCCGCTTGAAGGAGCAGCACGTCGATAAGGCTTTTGTAAGTGTTAGGGACAAAATGGAGGCATTAAGAATGCTGTACTCTAAACCTTTGAGAAGCATGAAGGAGATGAATAAAAATCAGGGGACTTTTTTGTTCGAATCATCTCTGTAACTCATTTTGAAGCGACACGATATACTTTTGTTAATGTTAGGATCGATAATAGATGCCTAGAAGAAGCTTTTTACGTCCCTTTAATCCATTTTCTAGGAGCTTTACCGAGTTGCTGCCGAAAACCTCGACCTCCCCGGGGCGAAAGGAAGAGCTGCCGTCACCATCATTGCTCAAATTTGTGAATATTACCCAAGTGTGCTCAAGAAGGTAAGTCCCTAACATTCACTTTCATTTTAACCGTCTTAAACTGCTGTCGAACCGTTGGAATTTTACTTTCGGACACCGCTAAATAAGTCACCTTTAGGTGGTCTCCCGGTGCCTCGTGAACATCCGAAAAGCAGACTTGGAGGAGTACAAACAGCGAGTTATCGGGTTCCTAAATGTTATCAAAGCTGTATGGCCAATGGCAGTGACTTTAGAAGAATCGTTGCCTGCCGATAATTTACAAGGGGTTAGTAAAACTCAACGAATTCTGAAAAAGCAAATTTTAGATCATCGTCGGAGCGCTCCTTTGTTTGCACGTCGATTATAGCGATGTCGTGGAGGCCTCTTTGAAGGTGAATATCTCTCAATCGCTGTTTCTCTCTCTCCCTCTCTCTCTCTCTCTCTTTCTCTTTATGACTAAATTTTCCAGGCCCTCTCCGAAATCATGGCCCACCCAATAGCCGACATGAATTTCTACCCACCAATCCTTTCGAATAAATTCTCCACTGAACGATCTGGACCCTCAACCGAAAGGAGCTTCAATAATGGAAGCCCGCCTGCAGGTAAATCGATCATCTTAATACCGGAAAAATTAATTTCTTAGGCTCATGCTCATCCCTCATCACCTCTCCACTTGGATCAACCCTCGATCTCAGCCTAGCGGACCCGAGCGATCCGCTTTGTGTCAATTTTAATGAGCCTCTTGAGCTGCCCGACCATGGTTCGGATGGCACGTTGAGTGACGATGGAACGGAGGTATTGTAGCGTGCTGAGGCGATATCAAACTTTATTTGTTTTGAGGATCACGAGGGTTACTGTATTCCTAAAACTTTCTTGAAATTTGAGAACCTCATTACTGCTATTTTATAGCGTTTGAGCTCCAAACATTAATTTTGATAAAAATAGCGTAAAGCCCCGTGCTCTTTCGAAAATCCGATTCTTAGCAAGGCGAAATCATCGATCCGCTACTCCACGCTGACCTGTATGAGGAGCAAAAGCAGGAAGAAGAGGAGGCCAAGAAGCAAGAGTTGCTCTCACAGCAAAGTACCCCTACTAGGAAGATGACCGAGATCCCGGGAAGGCTGCCGGAGGGGTTCTGTAAGTTATTACCACACTGAAAAGAATAGGCGAAATCGCGCCTTTCTGCCCATGATTTAAAGGGAGAGTGCCAGCAAGCCTTCGGTCAGGTGGACTCCGAAGTCTGTCACACTGCCTTTAAAACTTTCATCTTTACTTCCGCTAGGTCCGTCCACATCCAACTGCTACACATATTCTGCTCTGCTCCTCGGAAGACAATTCCTGTTATCCGGCATCAAAGGCCTCAAAAACGACCGCGAGGTACTTACTGCTCCATCCCTTTCCTATATACACCTCTCTCTAGATTCGAATCTCCCACAAAATCCTGGCCCTGAACTGCTTGGGGACGATCGCCAGAAACGCGCCGAGCATTGGGAGGGCACAAATTCAATGGGGTGGGTCGGCAAAAATGGCTTTTACCGAAAATTTGAAGGTGATGGGCCTCAAGCGCTGTCGGAAGTGGCCAGATTTGTACTCCATGATGACGATGCGCTTTGTGCTTCGGCTTTGGAGTTTATCGCGGCTTGTGAGCAGAGACTGTTGAAGCAGGCTGAGCCGTTGACTGGTAAGTTGGGGTCGTTCGTGCTCATTCACTTTCCCTTTCTTTTTATAATGTTCTCTCTCATTCTGACTTTCTCTCTTTCTCTCTCTTTCTCTCTATTTAACTCAGTTTCTCTCTCCTTCTCATTTTTTCTCTCGCTCGTCTAGTTATTTGTTTCAGAAATGTTCCCCTACTGTATAAAACGCTTGGAACGGGTATTCCATCAAAAGAGAAAGAGGGCTCTACTCCAAACTACATTAGGGGAAACGGTAAATCTTCAAGACCTTTTTAGTCTACTTTTTTTGGCATTTCAGGACCTCCTCTGCCATTACGGGTTATTTCCTAACATTTGCCGGGTTGCGATCGAATCGATAAGTGGATCCTACGGGTTGTTGAAGGTATATTTGGCCTCTTAAGCCGAACTTCGACCTTTTAGGCCACTTCCGCCGCCTGGTTCTCCGCCATTGAGTGGTCAAAGTTGACCCCAGAGCTCAGAAGTCAGTGGCAACGGCCATGCCTTGAAGCTTTCCTGAAAATTCTGTTTTCTGGCGATGCTGTGGTCGAAAAGGAGGCCGCGGAATTCTTGCCAAGGTAATCATGATTCTCGAGATAAAATATGTCACCTAAGGCTTGTGAAAAATGTCGAATTGGGCGCTCAGAGCAACGCTTTCCACCACGCGTTGCCAGAGAATTATATTGGTGCCGGTTTTCCGGAGATTCCTGTGGTAAGGTTTTGATAATTACTCTCTCTTTATCTCTCACTCTCTCTCCTCCTCTTTTTCTTTCTTGCTCTCTCTCTCTCTCTCGCTCTCTCTCTCTCCTCAAAAACTTATTTAGGTACTTGGCCTCCCCTTGACTTACTCTTTCTGCGACAAACCGGTCGATTTCACCTACGAAGAAAATCTGGAGTTGATTCTAGCTAATATTTTTCAATTTGCAAGTGAGGACAGTGTTCAATCTGCAGTAAGTGTCCTTTAATGGGCTTAAAATCTCACATTTTTAGTCGGGTCTCGTGTTCGGACTGGCCAGCCTCGTCGAAGCGTTTCCGCCCTCGATTTATCGCGAATGTTGGCAGAGCGCTTTTCGGGTAAGCTGATAGATATTTTCTTGCTATCGTAGAACACCGTAAACATTGAAATCTTTCATATTATGTACTAATAAACACTTTATTGAACCCGTTCAGACCCAATCCGGCATCGCTGGTCTGCTGTCGTTAATGGTTGAGCTGGCTGAGCTGAACTCGAGCAGTCCGACGATGATGGTGAAAGCGCTGCAAGTGATTTCTGGGCTATTTTCAGGTGAGCAAGAGAAACCGATTGAGCGCGATCCAGGCCAAGCGGAAGCCCGAGTTTGAATTGAAAACCGAAAATCGTCTTTTTAGGCCAAATGGAGGGTCAACTAATGCGAGTCGTACATGAGCAAATGGTACCCGACCGAAAGCTGCTACCGAAACAGCTCGATGTTCTACTGACTGAGCGATTGGTGCTCCTACCGTTACGGTAAATACTTCGACAGTTTTTCGTTGAATCCAAGTTTTTTTAGGATCCTGAATGCGTACTACGCTCTGCTGACCGAACATCGAAGTCTGATGAGCCAGTCGTCGAGCGGGATCCTCTCTAGACCAAACATCACCAGCATGAATAATAAGAACATGAAGACGGCGAGTAGCGCTAGGTAAGAAATGAGACGTCCAAGGGAATGACAAGACAGGGGTATGGCATTCTGGCCCAAATACTCTGTTGTAGTAATCATTTAGATAATTTAACGATGCCGAATTAGCAGGATTATACATTATATTTCACTTTAAAGTGATCTTGACAGCAAAAACAGGGCTATTTTTTAGAATTGCTGATATCTCTCGTCTCCTCGGTACCAGCATCCACCCGATCAAGCCAAGCAGCTTTCTCGAATGCCCATCATTAAAATCTATGTTTCCGCAGATTCGAGGAGCTTTTTCTAACTATTTGGTAAGTTGTTAAGCTACTTATGATATCGATACTACACCAAATTAGCTTATTAAAAACCGCAGTTGATGATCAGCTTCATATGGGATGGTTCACGGTTAAAAATCTTCTTGTTTTAGGAAAAAATCGGAGCCGAGCAAGACCGTCGTCTAACCGAACTACTGACCACTGCCCTGCACTGCTTGAGCGTGTTGTTGGAGATGGTTACCTACCAAGCTATACGCCCGCAACTGGAAGAGATTCTATTGTATCTGAAGGTATCGGAAGATTACAAAAATGAACTGGCCTTTTAGGTCATCTTTGAAATTGAGCCGGCTGGTTGTACTCGTTTGCTTCACCAACTCTTCAAATTGGTGTTTGGGAAAAATGCGGCAAATATCAACTTGGAGACTTTGCATCAGTTGAACTTGAAACATCCTCTACCGCCGTCAGGTACGCATGAGAGAGAGAAAGAGAAAGAGAAGGAGAGGGAGAGAGAAAAAGAGTGAGAGAGAGGGCGAGAGAATCAGAAGCCAACTATCCCGTTTCAGACAAACTCGACATGTACCTCGTCCGTTCCATCAACGAGTTCACCTTGTTTGCCGCTTTTCTCAACCGCTTTGAGTTTTTGGACGTCTACGTCAGAAGGTAGAAGGCGATGACTTCTAGGAGTTCAACGGGTTTTAGACACGTCGGCTGGCTGAGGGCGGATCTGCTCTCAAAGGTGCACGTTCCGGAAAACTCGGAAATCTCCAGCTCGCTGCTCCTTTTTGAGGGTTTCATCAACAAGTTGATCGCACTGTACCCCAACTTCAACTCGCTGCCGACCAAGTGTGCGGTGAGTTGAGAGAGAGCGAGAAAGAGAGAGAGAGAGAGAGAGAGAGAGAGAGAGAGATAATCAATACACTCTTTTCAGATCCTGAACGTCATGTGCGAGCTTCCTCGTGACGGGGTACAGTACGCCCTGGCCGATCCGAAGGGCAAACTTTTTGACGTGGTTCAGACCCAGATCGAAGACATGTTCTCCACGCACACAAACATGATTCAAGAGGTATTTTATGCAAAATCGGAGGTATCATACCTTCTTTAGACGTTTCTTTACCTTACCGTACTCGCCAGAACGGGATACATCGAATGGAATCGGGTAGAGGATATCGTGGAACAGGTTCTGGACCGGACGCCAAGACAAGCGGCTAGAAATGGTGGGTGGGCTTGAGGCTTAGGCTTAGGCTCAGACTCAGGCTCAGGCTTAGGCTTCAGCTTAAGCTTAAGCTTATGATTTTAGCCCTCTCCGCCCTTGACGTGCTCGTCTGCGAGAACCTGATAGCTCAGAAGAAAGCTGGAACTCACTTGTGGAGAATCTGGCTCCAGCGAGCTGCTCAATTCATGGAATGGGACCCTGAAGGCTCCTCCGTCGTCTGGACGATATTTTTGCATGGCGCGAGGAGGGATGAGCAAAGGTCCGTCCTTATACATATCCAGACCGAGGCTTGGCTTTCGAATTAAGCTTAGCCTCAGGGTCAGGGCCAGGCTTATGCTTAGGCTCGGTGGATTTTCAGAATCTCTAAATTTCATAATCTCTAAATTTCAGAATCTCTAAATTTCAGAATCTCTAAATTTCAGAATCTCTAAATTTCAGAATCTCTAAATTTCAGATTCTCTAAATTTCAGAATCTCTAAATTTCAGATTCTCTAAATTTCAGAATCTCTAAATTTCAGATTCTCTAAAAATCAGAATCTCTAAATGTCAGAATCTCTAAATGTCGGAATCTCTAAATTTCGGAATCTCTAAATTTCTTTGTACAGGAGCCCATACAGAGTTTGGCGCAAATTGAAACTGTAATGCGATTTTACCCAAAGACGCCTCTGAAAAGTTTTTCTGGGGTAGTTTTTTTGCGCTAATCACGAAAAACGTAGAAGCATTTCCATAGCGCCATTTTTCCGTGCTTGGTTACAACTGTTGTCTTCAAAGCCCAAAACTTGGTTTTGTTATAAGCAATTCATTTTGAATTTTTGTGATTCGTGGTTACGTTTTTCGTGATCAGGGCAAAAAACTACCCCAAAAAAAGTTTTCACAGGCGACGTTGAGTAAAAGCGCCATACAGTTTCAATTTGCGCCAAAAACTCTATTTTTATTTATAGAGATTCCGATTTTTAGAGATTCTGATTTTTAGAGATTCTGATTTTAGAGATTCTGAAATTTAGAGATTCTGAAATTTAGAGATTCTGAAATTTAGAGATTTCTGATATTACAGCTTACTTTAGATGGAAAGAGTGGTCTATCGAAGCCTGGAGCATCTACCAAGAATGGCTTACAGCTTCAAGCTCCAAATTAAGCTCTTCGACTTGTCATGCTCAGATTGTGTTTCTCAGCTCGTTGGCGTCACAGACGTTCTCCCCGATTGATTCCTTTTTTAATTTGCTGAAGAATTGTCTTTTCGAAAAGGTTTGTTTGAGAGAGAAAGGTAGAGAGAGATAGGGAGATAGAGAGAGAGAGAGAGAGAGAGAGAACGAGAGCGAGCCCAGACCGCAAAATTTTCGACTTTCAGAGCCCATCTCACATCAAACTCTCCAAAATCCTACCCCTATTTTTCCTGATGGTTTCCTCAATGACGGAAGAGCAAATCCAGACCAGAATCGATCAGCTGGCCGAGAAACCGGTCGAGCTATTAGTGCGGTAAGGCAATTTTGTCATGTAAAATTCAATTTTCAGCGGAATTTTCGACGTCATCTGGAAGGCCACCACCGAGGCCAAGGAGCACGACGTCGAGCTGGAGGAGCTGATCATCTTTATGCTCCAATCGATGTCGTATTGCTTGAGGAGTGGTGAGTTTCAAGAGGGCGACAAATTCAGAAAAATAATTTAAGAAAAACTGCCAAAATTCTCGTCTTGCCTGCGTTTCCATACCACCACGGAACCGTCAAGTGTGCTGTTACGGCTTCATCGAATTTCGCCAAAGATTTTGGTGCACTGGTTGTCGTTCTTCTCGCTGACGCCGTCTGCTTTGCCCATGTTTTTGGAGATATTGAGCAACCCGAAGTTTAAGGGGTAAGTAGATCTGGCTTCTCTCTCTCTCTCTCTCTCTCTCTCTCTCTCTATCTTTCCCTCTCTCTCTCTGCCTCTAACTCCCTATCTCTCTCTTTATCGTTATCTTTTAGTCACACGTTCAACATCACCATCCTCCTCCTCGTCGACCTCATCCAAACCGAGAGCCTCTCGAACTCCCATCTGGCCAAGCTTTTCGACCCTGCTGCAGCTGTCAATCTACCACTTCTCCTAGTTACAATTGCTGAGCGCAAAATGGTGGACATCTTCGTCAGGTATTATCCGTCGGAGAAAGCCCAAATTCCGTTTCAGTGCTCTAAACGACGAGTCATTCGAGCTGTTCCTATCTACAGTGGCTGTCGGGGCGAAGGAGAGCTTGAATATTAAGGTACGATTTTCAAAAAAGCTTAGGGATATCTAGCGTTAATTAATTGGGAAAAGATAAAATCTCTCCATTCTAACCCCTTTAAGGCCTAGCTTTTAGGCCGCCCTCGATACGATAGCGCTTGCAAAGAAGTTTATCGAACACTTCAAAAGAAAACCCTGCGAAGAAAAGCTCCTTGAAATGACGGAAAAGCTCAAGCCGTACTGCCCTGTGCTGGAACAGAAGCTTACGGAGACACTGGGACTGGAGAAGCCGCACGAATTCGACGGGATCTCCGGCTTTGCGATCTCTCGGAACCTAGAATTCCTGACCCATGCCCTCAAAAACTATCAAAACTGCCCGATTGATGCTGTGTTGAAAGGAATTCTACAAGTTCCTACGCAGGAGCTGTACGAGCTGTTTGAGGCGCTGGTGAGGACTTTGAAAGAAACTACAAGGCAAAATGTTAGCTACGAACTACAAAACTGTGAAAAGCGCTTACTACACATATTTAGGATAAGTCGCAGCGGAAGCACTTCTTTACCGTAGCTATACAGGCGGCTGAGGAATGTGCAATTGGGAGGGCAGGTTGGTACGAGCGAGGACAGAAAGAGAGAGAATGCGAGAGAAGGACAGAGACAGAGGGAGAGAGAAAGCGTGAGAGAAAGAGAGCGAGAGAGAGAGATCAGATAAAGTCATTTTAGCCGAACCAGAAGACCAGCGAAAATGCCTAACGAACGCCCAGGAGCTGATCGGCACCCTTGAAGACTTTATTGCTCAGGATCCGGAGATCGCGCTCCAGTTTTACGCAAAAATGCAGCCAGTGGTAAGCTAGCTCCTGGATTTCTTCGAGCCTAGGCTTAGGCTTAGGCTTAGTCCTAGGCTTAGGCTTAGGCTTTGGCTAAGGCTTAGTCCTAGGATTAGGCTTAGGCGTTGGCTAAGGCTTACGATCAAGGCAATGTTTCAGCTTCTCACCACAAGCCTGAACGTCTCCGACCTCACTGAAGGCATAGTTCGTGATCTACTCAAATGGATTTTGGCAAATATGGTATACAAAACCTAATTTTTCAATGCTAAAGTCGATTTCTAGCCCACCGGCCCTATCGAGCTGCTTGGCGAATTCTTGGCGGGTTTCAAATTCCTCTTCACCACGCCTTCCGTCAACGAAATCTTTGGCCAGCAACCTCTTGCTCATCTATCAATGCTTAGAGAGTCGCTGCTCTGCATCGTCGGGTTTTTGGATCAGGTTTAATTGTTCTAACTTGGACCAGAAGATTCTTAAGGTATCCTACGAGCCCTACCACCAAGAAGAAGTATCGGGTATCGACATAACAGGTGCCTCTGTGGATTCCGACAATTACCGTATGACAAATTCTACGTAGAAACATGTAGGCCATTTTAGGTTACACCTCTGAACTCTTTGATATTGTGCAGCATATTTCGAGGCTCTATCGTACCCAGAAAATCCCTAGTCGAAAGCCTGGGATGAAGAAATTGGAAGAGGTGTTTAGAGGTAATTTTTTTGGAATGATTCGCTATAGAAAATACCTTTAACTCGACTTTCTATAACTATCCTACTATATATAAAAAAATAGTGTTTGTGTGTGTGTGTGTGTATATTTGCATGCACTTCCGTTAGGATGTTCCGCTCCTACAGCCTCGGGGAAGGGTTTTTTGGATAGGGAAGAAACGACAATAGGTTTAGAATGGTCCGGAATCGACTGCACACACATAAAAATTTTGAAAAATTGCGGTTTTCGCTATTAAAAATAGGTTTTTGTAAAACCCTGTTTGTTAGGGGAAATTACCATACGCCGGAAGTTGGAAGAGCCTATATAACGGGACAGAGGAGCCGTTTTCCACTTTTTTCTTGCTAAAATTCAGGAAGAAACATGCAAATTAAGGACTTTCACAGGTCCTGGACGGGGCCAGGGTTGAAAAGCCGCGAAGCGGTTTTTCAACCCTGGTGTTTAGTAATATTTCGACATCCTCTGCTCCATTCTATGGCGATGGTACCGGAAACGGCGATGAAGTAAGCGAGAACTGCTTGGTTTATTGGCTCTCTCTCTCTCTCTCGCTCTCTCTCGCTTTCTCGCTCTCTTTCTCTTTCTCTCTCTCTCTTTTCTTCTCTCTCTCTCTCTCTCTCTCTCTCTCTCTCTCTCTCTTTATAGCAACTTTCAGGATGGAATGGCGGCCCCGAATGGAAATCCGAGGCGAAAACTCCTTCTCGATTCCCCTGGTCAACATCCATCTTCTCAGCAACTATGATGTGCTGACTGATTTCGCCTGGAGGGTAGGTCCCAACCCCAATGCATCCCTTAAGGAAATGGCGGCATCAACAAGCGTCTATTAATGTCTCCATCGGCCAAAATCCTTTTTCCAGGTCAACTGGCTCGGCTGGACGACACGACAGCAGTTTGAAGACTCTTGGATGAGTTTGTTTGGAGTACTATCGAGTACTCCAACGGGTTCTGAATTGACGCAGGAGAATGCTACGGTGAGTCTCAGGTTCGGGCTTAGGTTTAGGCCTGGGCTTGGCTTGGACTTACAGGCTTACAGGCTCGAGCTTGCCTTTTGCTTAGGCACTTAATTTCTCTCGTTTTTCAGCAATATACCGAGCAAATTCTCTCATCGGCCAAATCGGTCGAAGCCTTGACTGAGCTGCTACTGTCTTCATTGCTTTATCCCGAGCCCGGAAACTCGATCTGCAGTCACTTTGTTGTGAAGCATCGGGAAAGGACAGAGACCTATCGTAGCAAGTGGATATTTGTCAGTTTTCGGGGAACCAGAATTTGTTTAGGTCGATCCGGCAGCTAAGTTCAATCAAAGCGAGGCTTCTCGGGGACAAGGACCCATCTACTGTTTTTCAGCGGAATATCGAGAGATTGGTGAGTATGAGAGAGAGAGACAGAGAGGGAAAGAGAGATTGCAAGAGAAAGAGAAATAGAGATCGTGAGAGTGAGAACGACGAGAACTAATTTTTCCTTTAGATCCCGGAAGTTGGATCGAAGTATGGACCAAGTCAACTCTCGGCTCTTTCCCTATGGTCCTTAACTGGAGTCCTAAATGATGAAAAAACGCCCACCGGCCAAAATAACAGCCCGGTAAGCTTCAAACTGAAAAAAAATATACTATGGCGTTTTAGAGGTTAAAAGCTTCGGTGTCGGAATATCTACTTCGAATGAACTGCGAGCTCGATACTGCTTCATCGGTTCGAGCACTATTTGACAACTATGCTCATTGGTTGAGCCGTGGATTAGAATACCTGTCGTTGCCGCTACTTTCTGCGACTGTACGATCGGTATGTGTTTCTCTCTCTCTCTCTCTCTCTCTCTCTCTCTCTTTCTCGCTCATCTCTTTCTCTTGCTCTATTGTCTATACCCTGAACTAGATGGCACTCCTCTCCGACCTCTTCGACGACTCGACGTCCTACCTCCTGCTATACGAGCAGATGAGGAACATCTACAATAGTCGAATTCTGCAACACCACCCCGATTTTGGCTACGTCATCTACTCGATTCTGAAGGCAGTGACGGTGCTCGGCGTCGTAAGTTAACTGGATTATTCTATTCAGAATTTCTTAGGAACCTCTCGAATCGAAGCTGAGCGAGCTCGACTTTGGGAAGCACCTACTAGGCTTTGTCGAGATGGGATTGACATCGCATTATGCGGTAGTACGGTAAGTTAGGCGAAGCTTAGGCTTCGGATTAGATTCAGGCTTAGGCCTCGGCTCAGCGATCTTGTCCGCCTTGAAGACCACAAGTAAACACGAGTTTTTAGGGAACACACCCTCCACGGTGTCCTGTACTTCTTGCAGTCGATGGCAGGCGAGTCGATGCGTCCGATCATTCAGTACGTATCGACGTTTTTGATCGACGAAATCACGAAGCAACTCGCGATCACTGATCCAGTGTTGATAAATAGGTATGATTTTCTCTCTGTGACTCCCTGTCTCTCGCTCTCCCACCCTCTCTCTCTCGCCAAAACTCCTCATTTTCAGCTCCCCCTCTTCCATCAACTATTCAACCGTCATCTGGGCCACGGCCTTCAGAATCATGGAAGAACCGGTCCAAGGGAACTTCAAGCAATCCTTAAATCAGGTTTAACATTAATATTTACTTAACTTCCGTCAATTCAGAAGCTCTGCGAAGCACTCTTGGTCGCAAATCTACCGCACTGGACCCTCGAGCTAATCACTGCCGGAATCGAGACCCTCATCTTTCATTCAACCGCGTTTTCGGAACAGTTTGCAGCTGTGGCTAGAGGTAATTAATATCTTCAATTTCGACAGATTTTCCTATTTTTAGAAAGCTTCCAAGATTACCACTTCCACACGGGAAAGTTTCCATATGCCCTGCGGATCTTTGTGGATTGTATTTTCCGAGGTAACCGAGTCGGGATAAGCCCTATTCCTTGCAATTTCAGAGGAAGCCGATCCGTCTCGAAACAGCGCCCACAAATTCCAGCCGCTGCTGCAAACTGCTATCGGATTGTAAGTGATAACGTATGCGAGAGAGAAATAGAGAGAGAGATAGAGAAGAGAGAGAGAGAGAGAGAGAGAGAGAGAGAGAGGAAGTACATAATCTTCTAACACCACGCGACGCAACCGCTGCACCAAAAGTTACCAAAAAAAGTTACCAACAAAAAAAAGCAGCAGCTACCAGTTGCCACCTTTCTTTTTCAGAATACATCGTTGCTACCCTGCCGACGCCTTACTTCTTGCCAAGGTGTTCCCACCCATCCTCCGACGACTTTATAAAGATCACAAAGTGGGCTTTTCACATCGTATAAGGAGTGCAAACCGACTCATTTCAGGCCCTCGAGATCATCCTCGACATGCTGTTCCCCGACCAGAAAATTCACCTCCCCGAGAATGCGCATGCCGTATTTGTCGTCATTTTTGAGGTAGTTAAAATCATAATTGACTTTCAAATCATTTTTAGTTCTTCGAGTTGCTCCGTGAAAATCAGCGTCTGGCCTCTTGCCTTCAACTTTCTTCCATCATTGTGAAGCGCCTGAGCGAGATCTTGATAGTTGAATCCGAGAAAACGGCCGCTACATCGATACTCTTAACGGCTGCCCATGGAGATTCTGAAGTGGCTTCTCGGTAAGTCGATTAGCACGCGGTTGATGCGTAGTCAAGGCTTAGGCTTAGGCTTAGGCTGAGGCTTAGTCTGAGGCATAGGTTTAGGCGGGCCGAACATCAAAATCATCCCCAAAATGTTTAGGTTTCACCTTCTCCTCGAGATGTTCGAACGGGAGCCGATGGACTGGTCGTTTTATCATGATTGGATTTTGCAGAAAACCGCGGAAATGGTAGGAGAGCGAGAGTAAGACCAAGAGAAAAAGAGAGAGAAATACATAGAGAGAGTGCGAGAGAGAGGGAGAGAGAGAGAAAGAGAGTGGGTGAGGAACAAAGCTCATGCCAAACCCTTTAGCATATGTTATGAGCACTAACAGCATCAGCCCAAAAAAGGTATATCTCACCCACACACCGCTTGTTCAGCTAGTGTCCGAGGGGATCGCCCTCTGCGTCCCGCTGCCGGAGCCTGTCGATCTCGCTTTCCTCGCCTCGTGTTTCCCCTGTGATTAAAGCTTCTATGTTGCCATAATGTTAGTTCGTACTTTCGTTTAAAGGGACTAAGACAAGCCTAAGCAAAGCCTATAAGCCTAAGCCTAAGCTTAAGCCTAAGCCTAAACCTAGGTCAACCCTAACAAGGAAACCTCCCCAGCTCGAAGTTGGACTTCGATTAGCCATATAGCCTATCTGATGCAGTTTTTCACGCTGATAACGATACCGATATTTATTTTTGCCGAGCGCCACAGGAACATTGTTAAAAATCGATTTAAAGTTTTGTCATGTTTGGCAGCCCCGCCTCAAAGCCCCTCCCCACGCGGAAGGATCCATCGGCGGCGTGGTGTAGTCGGCAAGTACTTGGCCTACCAATCTAGAGGTCGCTAGTTCGAGTCTTGCCGCTGACGACTTTTTTGCTTTTTGCTTCAAAAGTGCTGTGAAGGTCCTATCAGTCATCAAGAAATATGGTTTTAAGTTTTTTTGAACTTTTGGTCACCAATTCAAGTTGCTCGATTCGATTTCTCGGAAAGACTGTTTTTCAGCCGAAGACATTTGGAATTATCGGTGGATCACCAACTATTTAATGCACCAGCCACTCTTTTGAAAACTTTTTGAAAAAAAGGAGAAGGAAATACTAGGTTCTGTCTCTAAGTTTTTTTTTACATCTTATGTCAAGCTTCATTTCTGCGCCAAGGTATGCGTTTTGAGGTCATAAAATTCATGAGGATCGTATGTGAACCTGTGGTTCGTTGTAGCCATAACTACCTGAATTAGCTACCAAATGTGCAAAAAAGCTTAAAAATATCTTTCTTGATGACTTGTAGGACCTTCACAGCACTTTTGAAGCAAAAAGCAAAAAAGTCGTCAGCGGCAAGACTCGAACTAGCGACCTCTAGATTGGTAGGCCAAGTACTTGCCGACTACACCACGCCGCCGATGGATCCTTCCCCGTGGGGAGGGGCTTTGAGGCGGGGCTGCCAAACATGACAAAACTTTAAATCGATTTTTTACAATGTTCCTGTGGCGCTCGGCAAAAATAAATATCGGTATCGTTATCAGCGTGAAAAACTGCATCAGATAGGCTATATGGCTAATCGAAGTCCAACTTCGAGCTGGGGAGGTTTCCTTGTAAGCTACTGTCCGGTCCTTTTCAACTACCATAAGCCATCTCGTGCCATTTTATGTCCTCCTCTCGTATCTAGAACCCCTCTGTACCCTTTATGCCAAATATTCAGATCTGTGATATTACTGCCTTGCGCTGCTCTTCCCAGCTTTTCCTTCTCATTTTTGCCACTTCAAAGGATTCGCAGATTCGCTTCTCACGTACTTTTTCTCTTCAAATTGGCTGTGCTGTCTTGTTGGGTATTTTTTATTACTTTGTCACTTTGGAGCTTCAATTTTTAGAATAAGATAAATTATTTATTGCTACCTTAATAATACCGCATCCTCAAAAGTGGCAAAACCAGTCATAGTTTCGAAATAAAAAGCGAAAGAGCAATAGAGAGAAAGGTAAAGACAGAGCGAGTGGGAACGAGCCGGGAGATAAAGAGAGCGAGAAAGCGAGCGGGAGAGAGAGAGAGAGAGAGAGAAAGAGTGAGAGAGAGAGATAGCTTTCGAAACCACTTCCTAAACCACACCCCAAATACGATGTACAAAACTGTTAGCCAAAGGAACGGCGATAAATAGCGGAGATTTGGCTGAAAAGAGTCGGATATCTCCCTTTTCGTGGCGAAAAGATGATGCGGGCGTTCCTCAAAGTGTTATGGCAGTTCCGGGCTGTGCGAATTGATCCGGGCCCAGATCTCCACCCGAATACGCAGGGATATGTGTAAATGCGGTTAGCAATCGTCTTCCTTTTTTCTCTGTTAGCATATTGTCGAGGAGTCGATGAGAGGTGGGGCTTAACTTTACTACGCATATATTTCTAGCATAAAATATTTAGCAATTTTTTTTCAGACCCGACGCTCATGTAGCCCAGAAGCGTGGCGCCTATCCGGCGGCAACAACCTATCCTAAAGCCCCTGAAGCTTACCCAAAAACCTGTCAGGCCACAGCCTATTCCTATTGGCCACAATATTATCTGCCACTACAATTATACCAATTTTACCTGCCTGTCCAGCTCCTGTATCCAATTATCCCGCTTTACTATGTGCAGCCATATCAACAACAGTATGTTTATCCAACTCCACCTCCAAGCTATGTCAGCCCGCCACTACAAAAGTAAGTTTTAAGGGGGATGGTGCAAGCGTAGCAAAAACGAATCTAAAAATCCAGATAATTTATGATTTCAGCACGTTACCACCACCTCCGTCCACCACGATAAAAGGTAATTCTTGAAGCTATCGTGTTGAAAACGAGCGTAATTTAGGTAGCCAAGAGGAAATGAGTATCGTCGAAATTACCGTCACTGATGAGGCTGTGATCGAAAATGAGTACTCGTCTACCTCGACAATGTTTATGAGGTTGGCCTTGAATTGAAGAAATTCCTGAAAAACCACTGCTGACAGGCCTCGACCCAGAATATTTTGATTTTCTAGACCCTTCTCCCCGGCCCCGGCCCCGATGATTCCGATGCCCCCAGGATTTGCGGCTGATATGTAAGGTCTTTGAGTTGATACTTCAATCTGGGTGCAGGGAGGTCATCACGCCAGCCGATACGACAATGAGTACCACGACGACGACGACGACGACGACGACGTCTACCTCCACCACTTCACTTGTTACTACGGCAACGACGACTACTCCGCCAAACACAACTACGAGGCCTACGACGACCACGTGAGTCAAAGTATTTTTGTTTCTGTGGGATACGGATAGTATTCGCTAATTAGACTTTTTTGGGTCATTTGTTTGCTTTTTTTTACCAAGAATCTGGTTCTTATTTTGCTTGAGGGCTGTACGATTAGAAGTAGCCTATCTGATTCATAAGTTTTTTTCGATTCGAATGATATATTTTGTCGAAAACTGGCAGTTTCTAAATTGCAGTTTACAGGTGCGTAAAATGCGCCGTTTTTCGCCAATTCCCATACAAATTGCATTCCGTGCCACCTTAGTTCTAACTCGAATTGCAATCCTGACCCCAGACAATTTACTGTTAGGTGTCAATGGTTGCCAGCCCCATTCTGTAGTCTAGGAAAAAGATTCCATTACCAAACAAATTTTTCAACTTTATTTTTCAGGGCCCGTGCCCTTGATGCATCTACCAGTGGGGCTGGCAACCAATTGACGAATTTTGGTGGACTCGACAAGAACACCAGCGCATTCCACACGAGCTCGAGCGCACTTAACGACCCGATCCTCAATAAGAATAGCAATTCTCAATTCAGAAACCTCATCCCAAACCTCAATAACAATGTCCCTGATTTTAATGACAATTTCCATACCAATTCTATGAGCCATCCTTCCAAAACGGTTAGCACGCAAACATTCGTGCGAAACGGTCAGCATCAAAAAAGTTTGACGACGTTTTCGGGTGGTGGTGGAACGTTCAGAACCGATCCTGGTAACGCTGATGCGCTGGCTGACTTTATCGCTAACCTCCCCACACCCGACCCCAAGTTATTTGAGAGTACTGTAGAACGTAGGGTTGTTCAGAAAACATTACCAATTGTAAGGGTTGAAGGTCGATGACCTTTGAGGTTTGAATAAAATGTTTTCATATATTAATATAAATTACAAATTCGTTAAAAAACAGTGGCGATAGCAAAGTAAGAAAATCAATAAGAACACCGGTTGCGCGTACAAATATTGAGATGAATTAACGAGATTAGAAAATTAAATTTCTTTGTAGGTCTGCCACTACAAGCGCTACGACCACAACTACGACTCCAACCACTACGACAACTTATACTACAACTACTACCTCCGCTACTACCACGACCACAACCAAGACAGCTACCAGCACTACTACCTCAACTACGACGACGACAACGACAACTGCTACAACGCCTACTACCACTACCACCAGGCCTACGACGACGACAACTACCAGCACTACAACCACAACAAGTTCGACTACTACGACGACAACGACGACATCGACTACTACGACGACCACTACCACAACGACTTCAACGACGACGACGACGACGACAGCAACTACGACAACAACAACGACAACGACAACGGCAACGACAACGGCAACGACAACGACAACGACAACGACAATGACAACGACAACGACAACGACGACGACAACAACAACAACGACGACGACGACAACAACTACAACTACGACAACGTCTACAACGACAGCAACAACAACCACGACTCCGGAAGCAACTAGTGCAGTCGAATATGATTATGAGGACGAAGAGGTAAAATACAAAACTTATAGTAGTCACGTAGAGCTGCAAACTATTTTGCCTTTTCAGCTCACGCCGGATCAACTCGACAACTCGAAGGTCGATCCGCAATTCCTCTTCGCCGAAAAACCACCACCAGCCAAGGGCTTTAAGAAAACTAGCGGTTAATGGTTGGCGTATTTAAGTTTGTATTTTTAATGATGTGGTAAAACTTCACTTCTTCAATTATTTTATCGAAATCACAAAATTCAAAAACGTGTCGTCTTCAACTTCGTGTAGAATGTAGAATCACAGGGTAATTTAATTGCACGTAAGCGGAGGGAGGGGTGGTGTGGTTTGGAATGTAGTGGGACTTAAGGCAATTTGAATCACAATTTTAACAGAAAACGCGACGGCTTGTAAACTACAAGCCTGCATAAGCAACACAGTAAAGCTGACAAGTCAAGAAAAATACAAGAATTAAGAATAAACAAAAATACAGACACACAGAAAAATAGGCGGGGCACGATGTGTTCTACAACGAACAGTACAGCCGGGCTATATCTCTCAGATATAGTGAAGAAAAAAAAAGAAACCATTCAATTCGGGTCTTATTTGAATCGAGGGCTAAAAGGATGGTGACAGGGTTTGGGCTTAGGCTTAGGCTTCGCTTCGGCTTAGGCTTAGGCTTAAGCTTAGGCATAGGCAAAAACGGCAACAAAGGTCTAACTGGACCGACAGACTACAAAAATTTGGGCAATAACTTTGCCCGACGACAAGAAGCCCCACATAGGACTTGGGAACGAGGCGGCAAGCCAGAAGCCAGAGACCGGCGTCTTCTACAAGTTGTACGGTGGCAGGAACTTGTAGACGAGGCGCTGCTTTTTCTCGGGCTTCTGGATGATGCCTTTTTTTGTAGTACTGGCGCAGGCTGCGGGACAGCTTGTCGTAGTTCATCTGGGAGCGGTTTTTGCGTTGTCCCCAGCACTTGGCGAGGGCGTGCGACGACTCGATCTTGAAGGTGCCTGAAAAAAGGGTTTCGGATTATGCTTCGGATGCTTCAGCTTAGGCAGTTTAGGCTTAGGTTGAGGCTTAGGTAGGCTTAGGCGTAGGTTTAGGCGTAGGTTAGAGTTAGGCTTAGGCAGAGGCATCGGCTTAGGCTTAGGTTTACGCTTAGGCTTAGGCTGCTTAGGATTTGGCGTAGGCTTTCTAACTCGCTCACCTTCATCTCGATTCACCCATCGAACACAGTGCGAGTATTGCTTCGGCTGATCGAGCAGCTCTCTGATGAAGTGCCACAAGTGGACGGTCCCGGAGCTACGATACGCTCCTCCGGACGCAGCTGCTGCATCAGGGAATCCGCCAGACGGGAAGAGACCGAAAGGAAGATCAGCTTCATCGTCAACTGAAAAAAATAAATGATTGTTTTGGGTTGAAAGCCCTACGTTCCGCATCCGATCCAGGGCTGCTCAACTCCGAATTTGAGGGCGAGGGCATCGTGTCGTTTCCGAAAAATCCGGCATCAGGAGCGAGAGTCGGGCTTTGGAATGGGGAGCCTGAAAATAGGAGATAGATCGAAAAACAGAGAGAGAGAGAGAGAGAGAGAGAGAGCCGCGGAAGTAGCTACCGTAATACTCACATCCATAAAACCCATTCATCCCCTCCAAATTCGGGAACAACTGGAATGGTTCCCGAGCTGCCGGACTCTGTGCTGTCGGCATCTTCGACGTGCTGGGCCACTCTTTAGGAATTGCTGCGCTCATCGAGTTCGAATTCGAGATCCCGTAGTTGCCGTTTGAAGCGGCCGGTTGGTGTTGTTGGTAGGCCTCGAAAGCTAAAATGTTTGGGGTTCCGCCATCAAAATTATGGGCTACCTGTCTTCCACAGCTGCAGTTGCGCGTGCAGGTCTGCGGCTCCGCTCTGAGCAAACTGCTCGAAGTCCCTTTGGCTCATCTGGAGTAGCAAAGCGCCGGTTAAAAAGCAAGGCTTTGGGATGGGGTGGCTGAACTGCTGGCACATCTCCTTGATCCACTTCCAGCAATGCTCGTTGGTCCAATGGTTCGGGTCTGAAACAAAAAAGGTAAATCTCGTCTCTCTCTCGTCTCTCTCTCTCTCTCTCTCTCTCTCTCTCTCTCTCTCTCTCTCTCTCTCTCTCTCTCTTGCTCTCTCCCTCTCTTTCTCTCTCTCTCTCTCACCTGTCGGGAGTCCGACTTTCGCGCAAGTCGTAGTAATGTCCTGGACGAGGTGTCTCAGGATCAAGTCACGATAGATGTCGAGTTGTCCCTCATCTAGCGCATCTGAGGCCTCGCTGTTGATGCTCAAGTTTTCGGCAAAAGCTTGAGAATACGGGTAGGAGTTGTTGTTGGGCGAGTGGTACTCATCTAGAAAAAAGAAGCTTAAAAAAGAGGATCTTCAACTTACTGTCAAAAATCTCGGACTTGATCTGCTGATTCGGCGACGTGGTGGACATGTTTGGGAGCTGAAAATGACAGTTATGATAGGTTGGGCTTGGGTTCAGGTGAAGACCGTTTCCGGTGGCTGCTGCAACTAGCAGACTGCCAAGAACCTCGCTAAGTCCCCATTTTAGACTCCCCTCCAGGGCACTGATTAGCATGCAGACGCAGCACTTTTTTGTGTCCACCCTCTCGGCTTACGAACATAAACGCGAGACACGTCGGGGGTGTGGGGGAGGGCATTTGTTTGCTTTTGGGTATACTTTCTTCTCGGGGGGTGATACTTATCTGCCAAGGGAGACTGAGGCGAGGCGCCGCTGACCGTCTTGGGGCCGTTACCGTAACGCTTCGGCTGTCACGGGGACCGCTACCTACGTCACGACCCGGCCTTATCGCCGTGGATGGCCCCGCGGAGGTCTTTTTTGAGATAAGAGACTCGGGGGCTTTCAAGGAGAAACGTGTTTGTCTCTAGAATTGATGGGGGTATTGATCCCGGGGTTCGGAAAGTTTAAAGGAGGAATGACAGGTTGTACTATTGGGGTTGTGATTCGTACTTACAACATGAATAATATAATCTATATAATACTACAGAGTTGCCTAGTTTTGCTATCCCTGTAAAACACGGTGCTATGCCACTTTACCTAGAGGTTACTGTACCTCGAGTCGAAAACAACGACACTACTTTACGATACCTAGAGGATATCGTAATCGTACTTGGTCGTTTGCCAAAGATTTTCCAAAAGAGCCCTAGTGCCCCCTATATCCGATCGACTATCCTCACCTTCGGCTTCTTGCAGAACGCTGACTGAATTGAAGCCGTGGCTGTGGCTACGGAAGCCGTTGGAATTGGTCCCGAGAAGTTGTCTGCTTGGCACATCGGCGGGGAGAACCGGCTTGGGCTCTGAAAGAGAAACTGTACGTCTCTTTATTGCTTCGTTCTGATTCCTAGGGGCACGTAGCGTAACGTTGGTAGCTTGACTTTTTCAGAAACTCACGCTCATGTCGAATCCGTAGTCGCTCTCCGAGCGTTCGGACGGGCTAATCGGCCAACTGTATTCGGATGTCTGGTCACAGTCGCCGTAGTAGCTGCTCATAGGGTAGTCAACTAAAGGCAATATTAAACATGTTTTTCCGTATTTTTTTTTCGGGATTGCGCTAGATTTAGGTTGTTCTCCGGTTCCTTAGAGGAATTTATAAGATGACATGGGAGACAGCGACGAGAGAGAAGGCGAGATCGAGTAAGAGAGCGCGAGAGAGACCGAAATGGAGAGAGAAAGCGAGAGATAGAGAGAAACGGCCAATCCACGTAGCTTAGGAAACTCGTCAAACTTCGGGTTCTGCTATTTTTATGCCAAAACTGTGACATCAAGTGACCTGCCTACGGTGCTCTACAGTACGTCTCAGTACGGTACATTACAACAAGTTATCTTATGGTACCGTACGCTCCTGTACATTACAGTACGTTCCAGTACGTTATAGTACGACGTAGCAAAGCGAAATAAAAAGCTATCACCACGATTTCGCCACCCATTAACAACCACACCCCTACCTCTATCAAAAATGATGGGCTCTTCGAAGAACATTTAGCCGTTTGGAGGGGGAGAGGTCTGCTGCGTGCGTGTGCCGCCAAAAGAAATGGACAGTTTGTGTCAGAATTGGTCGGGGGGTTAGAAGTGAAGACCGTAGGGTCTTATCAAGAAGACCGCCTCACGGCCACCCTCGCCAGATTAGATGGCTTTTCCCCCCGTCGCCTCCTTCAACTCGAGGCTTAGCGCCAAAAAGTTCGCGTCACAATTTGAGAAGGGGTCTTCGAAAATCTTAGAAGCGTGTCGTTCGTTGGGAATTTGATGGGGGTGGATGGGGCTTAAGTTTATAAGTACCTACATGCGTACTTGCCGACTTTTGAAGGTCGAAAGAAATGTCCTTGGACTTTGAAGTGTTTTTGTTCATGCTGTAGAATGAGAGAAAGTAAAAGAGAGAGAGGCAGGGCAAGATAGCGAGAGATAATACGTGAGTTAAAGCTCGAGAGAAAGAAAGATAGCGACAGAGAGGGAGAGAGAGAGAGAGAGAGAGAGAGAGAGAGAGAGAGAGAGCGAAAGAGAGAAAGGGTTTTTCTGATTTTGGAAGCAGCTAAAGTAGCGTATCCTCAGAAGCCGATTGACGGAAGTCGGAACCTTATTAGTCCTTCTGGTAAACACAAACAAAATTACTGAGGAATGTAGGCGTGGAGAAGAAAACAATTTAGAAGAACCAAGTGGTTTCGGAACTTTAAGAGTTTTTAAGCGTTTTAAAGGGGATGCTAAGGGCAAAGATGGGCGACGTCCTGACGAAGCTACGCGTGACACCCAATGACGTGTATAATACAGGTTGGTTAGCAGGAAAATTGAGGTTTTGAGGTAAAATTGAAACTACGAACCTACGCCAATGGCGAAGAGCATTTTTTGAAGCAAGTAGCGGATGCTTTTTCAAAACGATCAAAAATAGATGTCGGATCTGCGATTTTCCAGGTCCCCTTAGGTGATAGTATGACGTGTTTTCGACATGAT